AACAAGCATCTCTGTTTTCCTATGCATATGGATGAATATGGGAGCGATTTCATGGTAAAAGCTTTTTACTCGTGCCAAACAAACTCAAATGCCAAAGGCACCTTGATTGGATTGAGGGTAGGGAGGGGAAGGCACGCATTATGAATCTATTGTCGTTTATCGCAAAAAAAAACGAGTTAAAAGAGATTTGTATGGGTGAACATACTAACAAATATCTGAAGCATTCTAGAGAGACACACGTTCTCATATTTCTATTGCATAGCATGTCAGACCATTAGAGTTGCAGATACAGTAATCATCAACTCAGAAAATAGCTGTTGTAAAATTGGGTTTTAATGTCCCATATAACTTGTTCACTTGTGCGATTTATATTAGTGTATTCATCATAGTGCTTGCAGATTGCCAACTAAATGAGATCCTCACAGTTGAAAAAAATCGCCTAAAGTGTAGGGTATCTTTTTTTCGGAACAAATCTGAAAATTAATTTTTCTGCAATGAAAATCTGATATTCCTGTGGGAGATAACCTATAGAGATTGTTTGTCATAAAGGTGATCAACTCAAAAAAAGGAGAAAAACGCACATTTAGCAGTCTTAGGAGTCGGTATCAAGTTGCGAATCAGGCGAGACTATTTTCGTTCGTAAAATTGGCATGGAAATCAAATGCGTCTAATTGCGAGAGAGGAGTACGAGTATTACAACAAAGATCAGCTTTTTTGTATAGAAGAGAGGATATACGACTTCAAGGATGTCGTCAGCTACTGTTACGGTATACAAAGCAAAAATCAGTCAAACGTCTGGCATGCTGAATATAAACACAGTCAGACAACACGATCGGGAATTTTCCGGCGCGTCTCTCACCGTCAGCCTTTTTTCATTGATGTTTCGGAGCGTTTCTGTACCGGGGACACTTTCGGGTTTCTTGGCAAGGTAATATATGGCTGCGACATTTTTCAAACCATGCTGCTTCAATAACATTTCTGACGGGACTGAACGGCTCCAAACCACATATGGCACACGCCATGTTCGTCGAAATTTAGTACGCGCAGAACTATATAGGGTCACTTGACGTTTACCGACCATTCTAAGATGTGATGAAGCCTAAACATTAGTCTATTAGCAAAATAGCTAAGTCTTGCTGGTAGAACGTTGAGCATTATTTACCGAAGAAACGCCAGTGGGTGTATATGTAAACACCAAATGCATCTTCATCACTTCACCAATTATGAAGGCTCACGGCTAAATGGGTTAAATTATATTATTAGAATTGCGGTACTTTTATGTACCAAGCCTTAAAGCAGATTAGCAGGCATATTCGTCATTGTTGCGCATTTGTTCGAGATAGTTGTAAAGTATTGGGGAAGGCAGACCAATACAATTTCCAGCTTGCTTACCAGAGATCTGGTCCCAGGCCCCAATTGTGTTAATGATTACTTTAAATCCTGCTTGTTATTTTACAACTGAAGGGCCAACTCATTGTTATGCTTTATTTTCTGTTAAGCTTCATTTTACTAAAATTTGAATTCTTTTATTATACTTGGACTCTATAAGACGGGCAGGACATTGGTCGCTTCAATTTTTTATGATTGTTGATTTTTCGTCGATAGTCGTTTTTCTTGCCGGTAGTTCCCCTTTTTGCCGGCTATTGCCGTTTTCGCTGTTTACTGTTATAACCTCGATATAGTGCTGCACTGGCAACGCGTTATGCGTCGCGTTTTTTTTTTTCAAAGAAAAAACTGTCCGATTTGCCGCTATATTGGCAGAAAAGGCGAACGCCTAGTACGTTCTGTCCTATAAACAAGAAGTTACATCCCAGACAAGAACTCTTGCTGTCCTTCCTTTACATCATTTGAAAACGCTGTAGTGTGGCAAGCATTCCAATAATAAAACGTAATCAGAGCCAGAACCTAATCGCGAAACTGTCAGATCTATTCCTCAAGTGAATATTATTCTAAGGGGTGTTTACTATTCCTCTCTCTCACTCTCTTTCGGAGTTTAAAATCAAAGTTTTGGATCTCGCTTAAACTTTGCCTAGGAAGTTACCTACAGATTGCAGGTCAGTTTGTGTTTTGACCTCTTACCGTATGTTCTGCCGATCATGGTCATCCATTCCGCACGGCAGTGTCTCATTTTAGAAGTACGAGGTATACGGTAAGAGGTCAAAACCACAAATTGGCCTTAAGACTAATCAAATGCGGTTATTTGACGTATTAATCACAAGTATCATATCCATTCCGCGAGATTGATCGTACTATAAGGCTAAAATGAAGGATCAAAACTATGAAATCGCTTGGAACTTCACTCAAAGAGGCAAATTTACGTGCTTATGATAATTACGGCACTTGTTTCGCTTAACCACTTCTTGTTGTAGCTACAAATCTTTACCGTAAGATTGTACTCCCGCATTTTTACGTAAACTTAACTAAACAATCAATTTTTGCCACTATGGTAGATGAGCCTATACGTTGATTCAAATATCACATTTCAATTTCATGACCAGTATGTGAAATAATTTTTGCTTGACGATTTCGCACTTTTGAGCCATTAATCTATATCCGGGATCCTG